AATAGCATTATCATTCTTTTTTTAATCTTGTTTACGCAAATCATAGTCTTTTCGATCAAGATAAAGTAATATTTATTTAACAAAAACTGATGCAAAATTAACAAAAATTACAAATAATTTCCATAGTCAGTCCATATAATGTTATTTAAAAACTGGTCGTTTTCTTGAACCTTTTTTTGTTTTCTCGAAGTGTCAAAGTTGATTACATATTACTATTACCATAACTACAAGTCTACACCCTCAACTTTGACACATTTAACATTTATTCAGTATGGTTCAATACACGAATGAAGAAAAGCTCGACGTAATTTTAATATTCGGTGAATGCCGTAGAAATTCCAGAGAAGCAGAAAGACTTTACGTTACCCAAACCGTCGACATACCGATCATAAAACCTTTTTGTCTTTATCGACGAATTTGCTTCATTGTGGTCCTTTTAACAAAAAGAAGCATCGTAGAAACACTGTTACAAATGATAGAAACAATGGCGTGGTATTAGGTAAGGTTGAAACTAATCCACATACCTCGGTGTGAGATATACAACAAGAAACGGGGATTTCCGGAACATCGGTCCATAATATCTTGAAGCAAAATACGTATCATCCTCACAAAATGCATCTTTTACATAATTTACGTCCTGGTGATATGCTACGAAGACTAAATTTTATTGCAGAAATGGAAATAAAGGCTCAAGAAAACGACCAGTTTTAAATAACATTATATGGACTGACCAGAGTCGATTTACAAAAAATGGCATTTTGAATAGACATAATAGCCATTTCTGGCATGACAGTAACCCTAGATGGACCAAAGACAGACATTTCCAAATCACGTTTTCTATAAATGTATGGTGTGGTATTATTAATGACATATTTATATGAGGAAAATTTGAACGGTCGCAATTATTTACAATTCCTTCAGACCCAACTAAATGTTCTTTTGGAAGAAGTTCCTTTAGTTATGAGACAAAATATCTTGTTCCAACAAGACGGGGCACGAGCTCATAACGAAAGTAGGGTTCAAAATTTTCTTCATGAATATTTTCAGGGGCGATAGGCACCAATGGTCCAATAAGGTGGCCTGCCCGCATTCCTGATTTGACCCCACTCGATTTTTTCTTGTGGGGTTACCTAAAGAACCTCATTTACCAAACAGAAATTGAAGACTTGGCTGACCTGTGCAATAAAATTTATGCGAGCTGTGCATCTATTCCTCGAAATGTTTTATTACGGGCAACTGATACCGCACTTAAAAAAAGATATGAATTATATATCTATTCATGAGAATGGCGGCAATTTTGAACAATTATTCTGACTCGTGTATTATGTTAATTTAGTATCGTTTATTTGTAATTTTTGTTAATTTTGCATCAGTTTTTATTAAATAAATATTCCTTTATCTTGATCGAAAAGACTATGATTTGCGTAAACAAGATTAAATAAAGTAATTTCCTGTGATATCTAATAGTTAAATAAAATTAATTAATCACTGTTTTATTCAAAGCAATCTAATACGACGATAATCTGCAGTAGTTATGCCTGAAAACTTAACTTAAAAAAAAATCTTCCTCCTGGAAATAAAATTACCTCAAATCCAAGTATCCCGGAAACTAGTGGCTTTTCGAAAATTGTTTGTATCAGGAACGGGATTTGTACTCACAAGTAAAGCCATTTATTGAAACTAGATGGTGGATTTTTCAGAAATCATTTATCTTTTCCGTTTTCTAGATAACCAGCTGGGGAGTTTTAAACGGGACACCCTGTATATATATATATATATATATATACCTATATATAATTGTATGCATAGTGTATATCTGCATGACAGTGTGTGTTTTATTAAGTATTTCAATATAATAATACTGATTTTCTATAATTTACCTAATTTATTTACTATATTGAAAATTTAAGTTTATTTGTAGAAATTAAACAATCTAATACAAAAGTGTGTGTTTCTGTAATGGCACTGATTTTACAACAAATAACTGACTCAATTCATATCATTGATATGAAAAGTCGAGCAACACTGATCGTGGTTAATACTTGGATGGGTGATCATCCAGGGAAGATTCACGATGCTCGTCTACCCTGGCCTGGCCTGTACGTGTATTCACAGAGGCTATATAAATTTAGGCGAGGTTTGTATAGGAAGACGTACCATCCCTTGGAAAGGATGAAAAACCGTTGCTCCCTTGTTTAAGGATGGAAACTGATGCATTTCTGGTTGCCTAAATTATACC